TTAACCGGTGCTGCAGTGTCTGATAACCGAAGGGTGCTTTAATGATGAGTAGATTTTAACACCCTTATTCCGATATCGAGTAGGGCTGGCTGGGGAATTCTGGGAATTGAAGTCCACACATCTTAAAGTTCCCAAGGTTGAGAAAGTGTATTAAACTGTGACTTAGCATATCGTGAGCACAGCCACCAGTGAGTTGTCCTACAGGTCTCCAATGCTGCATTCTGCCTGGCTACTGGCCCCTTAGTTTATTTATTAAATTTGTATGCTGCCCTTCTCCCCCAGAGGGTGACTTAGTTGCTTTTAATGCTGCCCCCAGATAGGTTTAGGATCTTCCAAGTTCTCACAATTTAAACCTAGAGGAATTTTGCACTTGCCTCTTCCCACCTTGGCCATCTGTTCCCCAAAGCTCGAGGAAATGCACACGCAAACCGTTTTGTAATTTTACAAAAAGGAAAAGTTTTATTCGTAAGAGAAGTCTGGTGGACGTGCCCGAGATCCTAGTGCCCATCTGCAGGCGAGCGCGTGCTGTGTGGCGGAAGGGTGGAAAGAAGTCGGGCAGATATACCCAGCAGATCAGTAATAACAATAATAATAATAAAATCAAAATATAATATTCTATCCAGCTTGACAAAAACAAAGTCAAAAAATTACAGCTCAGTAGAAAAGCGAAGAGCCCGCCCTGTTTCCCCTCCATGGCCTGAAGGAGGTAGAAGGGTGAAAACATGTTTATTTAAAAAAAATACCCAGAGGGGTGGGGGCATTTGATAAAATATTCTAAAAACTGCCCTCTCCCCTTGCATAAAATTAAAAGTTACAAAACCAAGTGAAACCAGCAGAATACGTGAAATGAGGAAAGGATCTTGGGAAGCGTGTGGAGGGACTGACAGGGCCCTTTCCTCGCCCAGAAGAGCTCCATCTTTGGAAGCGGGGGCACACTCCGCAGGAGCAGCGCTCACAAATTTGGGTGCTGGCAAGGAGCACCCCGGGGCCAAGGGCTCCCTGCCAGCTGCAACAGGCCACCCTGTTTGCAGCCTCGGGACCTTGCTCTCCATGCCTCTGCTCTGCTCCGTCACTTCATGCAGCCTCTTCTGCCGAAGGAAAATGGAGGGTGCTCAGAAATGCTCCCAGGAGGGTGGGGGGGGGAGATGCACCCCAACCCCAGGACAAATGCCCGGTCTGACCCTTGCAACTGTGGCTGCAAGAATGGAGCCTCCTCCTGTTGGCTTAAGCAGGAGGGGTGACTTTAATCCAGGGCATCTCCTGGTGGCGCTTCCCCATCCCCTCCTTTGGCTGGGCTGCACACACCCTTCTGAGGCGGGGGGAGGAAGGGAGGAAACCAAACACAGTTCTTGTTAGACAGCCAACAAATGCGGGGGGCGGGGGGGCAGAGGGACTAACCCTAGCCCTGGGACTGGGGCTGGCCCAGAGAAGGGGGAGGAGGAGCCCCATCCTCCAGGAAAGAGGCCTGCTTCCTTCCTTGCGGGGGGCTGGGGGGGAGGAAGGAGGATCCTGCTATTGCTCTGGGTAAGGCACAGGTGGGGGTCCTGCCCTTCCTGGGGTGGGGGGCTAGCACAGATTGTCCCTCTCCCCCACCCCAAAATTGCACGGTGGGAGCCAAAGGCCGGGGAGCCGACAGGGAAGGGGGCGCGTGGAGCTGTCTGGTGCGTGAGGGGGCCGGAAAGGTGATGGGGGCCTTTGCGTTTTTTCTTTTTATTCTCTTCTGCACATGAGGGAGAAAGAAGCTGCTGGCTCCGAGTGGCACCGGCAGGGTCTGGAGGCTACGGGGATCCCCGCTTCCGAAGTTCCGTGATGAACGCTGCAGAGAGAGAGAGAGACGAGGCCGAGATGAGGAGAAACGCTCCGGTGCCCGTTTCGGATGACTTGGCGGGCCGGTCGGCTTTCTCTGTGTGGGTGCCCTCAAATCACCCCCTGGCTAGAGGGCACCAGCTGAGCAGAGCTGGCTGGGCTATCCCTCCGTACTTTTCCACTGACACTACCTAGGGGACGGCCTTGGGGCCCACCTGCCAGACCCCACAGGTTAGGTTTCCCTAACACGGCTCTTCTTGTCGTCAAAGCCCACCGCGCCCCTTGGCCCCGGGAGCAGAGCAGCAGTCCTGCTCATCTGGAAACAAGGCCGGGGGAGCCCTTTGCCAGGCCTGGCAGCTGCGAATTTGCTTTCCCTTTTTCTGATCCCTGTCTGGGCCCTTGGGCTGTCCTGCCCACCGCCCTCCTCTCCCTCCAACCCACCTTGAATGATCTCCTCTTTCACCTTCTGTAGTTCACGCCGAACCTCCTGCAGAAGTTCCTGGGAGAAGAACGTACGTTTAGGGGAAGGAGCCAGGGGGGACTTGCAGCAAGCAAACCAGGGGGGAAGCTGCAAGGCTGGATTCCTCCGGCACTTAAGCCACGACTTTCTGAAACCACGAGGGTCCCACCAGCAGGCTCAACTGAGAGCCCCCTTCTCCTTGCCACACCTTCCCTCCCCTGCCTGGCTAGCCCTGAATCCTGAGCATCCAGGTGATGCAATGGCCCCGCGGTGCACGGATGTGTGGACTGGGCTGCACGAGCGTCTCCAGCAGCATCAAAGCAGGGCAGAAAGGTGCCAGAGGTGGGCGGGGGTTACCTGTTTCACCCGCTCCAACTCGGATTCATCCCCTGCACCACCCGTGGGCTCCCCGCCAGTAATCGCTCCGGCAGATTTCATCCTGGGAGGGTGAGAAAAAAAGCCAGGATCAGGGAAGGGCCATCTTTCCAGACCCCCCCGAGACCCCCGAAACAGGGCTGTTCCAATGCCTTTCTCCTCGGGGTGCAGCTCCCAGGGCTGGAGCTTGTCAAGGCTGAGTGGCGACTTACTGGAACCCAGGCAGGGGAGAAAGAGGGTCCCGCTGTCCCCCGCCGAGCTCCGCAGAGCAAAGCCTTGAGGGTTACGGGCAGCACCCAGGCCAGGTCTAGGGTGGTCCGGTACTGGGAGGGGGGCAATGAATGGTTTGTTTGCCACAGAGGTTGGCAATGGCGGAGGGGCCCTCCGTGCATTGAGCTACAGCCAGTCACCCTTGCGGAAGGCCGATCCAGGTGCCTTCCGGGGACTGCCCTTTGGGGATGGGGTGGGAGTCGAGGAACACAGATTCAGAAGCAAACTGGCACAATTTCCAGCCTGGCATTCTACCTCCTGGGGATCTGGCCCATGTCAAGGGCCATTGGCTGCTCCCAAACTAACAGGCTCTGGCAGAAGCGAGCCCTGGTGGGGTGAAGGGGCAGGGAGCCTCTTCCAGGCCCCCGATTTTCCCCCGGAGGGAGGGCTGGTTTGGGCAGGTAGGAGGAAAGAGCCCCTTCTGCAGGCCCTCCTCCTCCTCCGGCTTGCTGGGGGAGACACACAACGTCCCGCAGGGCGGTCTGAGCCTTC